CCCTGCAGGGTGGACAGGGTGAGCGGAAGGTAGCCAAACCTCTGGTCGCCACATTGTTATCCCTCTGTAACCATCGACATCAGCAGGCACCTTCGCTCCGGCCTGCTGGGCCCGCCGCCGCCTCACCGGACGCTCGCCCCCAGACGGTATAGGCAATGAACTCCAAAACATGGCGTTCGTCTTCCAGATGGAGTGATTCACTTATTTAGCATTGTCTCTGTCCCCCCGAGAGCCACAGCACCCGTTCAACGGCATCACCCACTCTGCTGAATAAACATTTATATTCTTTAACCTGGTCCTGATTGTATAAAAATAGAAATCAAGCATTGCAAATGCATTTGGAACATTCTGTGCAAGACAGACCGATGGAGAAAATAGAGAAAAATGACACTGGGGGAGTAAGGAGAAAAATGAATATATCTGACTGGACTGGGGTGCTCAGAGGGAATTTGAAATCATACTGGGGAGAAATGGGAGTGGTGGTTTCTCCTGTTCCTGCTGAGCGGTGCCAAATAGAAGATGGCAGGCGTTTTTGGTTTCTTTCTTTGCTTTTTTTTTTTTTTTTTTTTTGAAGGACAGTTTGTTAGGGGCTAGACTTTAGTTTTGCAATATTTCTCATCACTCAGACACGGCAAACTGTCTCTTCCCAAGACCCCCTTCCTTTGTCTCTTCGATAATAAGCCTACATCCGCATACGAAATAGGGTAAGGAAAATGACCAGGGAGGGTAGGTGTTAGCGAGGGAGGCAAGAGATGAAAAGGGGGGGAGAGGGATAAGAATAATGAAAAAAAACAGGGGGGCTGTGTGTACCAAAAGCTGAGAGAGGTGACCCTTTTGTCCACGGCTCACGTCTGGCCATCAGTAAGCAGCCATGTTTGAGAGAGAGAAGCCATTTTCTTGCCGCGCTCATTAATGTGTTTTATATTCAGCTGTGTTGGGAGGCGCCGGTCACTGTTCAACCCTGCAGTCATGTCACCGTCAGTTGCAAAGTGTGTATTATGTCTGTCCATGTGTCCATGCCTGTGTGCGTGTGTGTGTGGGAGAGCGAGAGAGAGGGAGAGAGAGAGGCTGTGGAGGGGAGCCAGGGGCACGCAGGATTAGACGGAAAGACCCCCGGGTTGGAGGCCAGAGCTCAAGTTCATCACTGCAGACGATGGGAAGCTCTTCAGAAAGCGATTGGGCTCTCAGCGATGTTGGCCTCTGTGTCGTGGACTGTGCTACTGAACTCTCTTCTCAGCCGCCACAGCTGCACCACGGCGCTTGTTTGTCTTCTCCACAGACTACTGTGTCCCCTTGTGGTCATCCTGCTTACTTCTGACACAGCCAATAGGCTACAGCTATATTATCAAATTCGACAGTGACGTGTGTGTGTGTGTGTGTGTGTGTGTGTGTGTTTTTTTTTTCCGGAGCACAGGCGTTGTTTATCGGGGCGTGTGCACGGGGTCAGACTGCGCTCTGAGTACAATACACAGCGACAGTGCAACCACCCTCCCTGACGCACACACACACACACACACACACACACACACACACACACACACAGACTACCATTCCTCCTCTCGTGTCCTTCTCCCAATCTAACCTCCTCCCTCTTTACACCCCTTCACGAGGACATCTGCTCCCCCAGCGTAGCTGCCATTGTGATGCTTCACACCAACTGGGATTTCAGCCACTGGTGGTGTGAAATTAAACAGCCACCTCGTCCCTTGATGATAAGTGGCGTCCTGTCTTCATGCTGCGGCTATCTCCTGCCACACAGAACAAGGTCAAGCTTTCAAGGGTGAATTAAAGTTCACTATTGAAAAAAGAAATGCAAAAACAGAGGACGCAAATGAGAAATAGGGTTAGTGACTATCAGGTTTTTTATCTATTTTTATTTTGTGCAATGTTCTGCTATTGGTGACTGAAGCACCATCTGATTCCTTGGTGGACATGGATTTGCATCACCTCTGAGGCACTGTACCCAGGCACCATGTTATGCCCTGAAAGTGAAAAACAATGTTCATTGTATTTGTGAATATTCAGTACATAACGATTGCATATTATTCAAAGGCCTGCGATCAGACCGGTAAACTGAAAAAAGAAAGAGTCATGGAAGAAAGGAAAATGATTTTTTCCAAGGCAAATTATCTTTTGAAAATTAATAGTTAATATTTTAGTATTGCTATATATTTTTAATTCACTCTTTGCATTTTTGCAAATATAATGTATCCTTCCACATTCATTTCACTGCACAGCCTTGATGAGTACATCAAATGTGAATTAAAGCACTCCATTTTAAGGGGGAAATGAGTAATAATTCAGAGATATTAATAATGCATTATAATACTATTCAGGAAAATTGAAAGTTTAAAAACAGTGGAGAAGAGAGGAGGAAACATCTGAGATTGTTAAGTCTGGAATGAATTGTACCCAGAGCTGGCTATTTGAAGCACAGGAGGGGTGGTGAGGTTAAGAAGGGTAAACAACAGCTGTATGAAGATGCCTTTTTAGCAGTAACACAGTCAGTCAGCAATCACACACATTATATGTCTTCCTTGTTTATTGCTGGTAACTTGTAACATGGTGACGCTGCAGCACACAGAGATGCTGCAGACAGCAGGAGGTGTGTGGTGGTGAAATGGGTGGAGGAGGGGGCCGGGGCGGGGTTAGAGTTGACCATGTCCCTTTCTTGTCTCATAAGATATCACTTTCTCCTCCATTTACCTTTTCTCTCTCATTTTAAGATTATTAGGCGAAGGAAATGAAATTCCTTTTCCTTTTCTTCACAGGCTTTTAAAAATAATATTAGAAAGTCTCATGATTATGAGTATTAAAATGATTGAGGGTGACCGTTAATGCCAATGGAGTCATTTTCCAGTTCTGCTTAAGCCTTAATAGCTGTGATAGAATGGCGTGAATGGGCCGTGGGCCACATCATTTCCTTTTGCAGGTAGAGATGGGCATCCCGTGGCTGAGGACCAGGCTGTTAGCAGGCCCTACTGGAGTCTGAATTAATGTTCTTTGTCATATAGTGCGTGTCACTTTGATGGTCATGGGTTTTGTAAACAAGTAACTCTGACTCTTTCGTGTCGATTTTAAATTGAGTAACTGTGTTCCTTATTCATGTGGTCTTTATTAAAGGCGAGCCTACTTATGTTCATCAGAGGCTGGCTGCCTTTTATACTGAATGTTGTTCTTGGCCTGTGTCGCCTGTTGAAGCAGGGAGGGAAGACTGACAGTGCTGACAGCGTTTTGGGGGTCCGCCTGGCTGGTCGCCCCCCTGGGTGCACATTGCGGCAGCCTGTTGACCAGCGTGGCAACTGTAGCTAACAGTCACTTCCAGCCTCCCTCCCCTTTCTATGTGTGAGTGCAGACAGTGTTGTAACCGGGCCATTTTGTCTTCATAAAGGTTTTCTTTAGCGCTAGAATCTCCTTGTTTAGTGATTTATTATTTAACTTATTTTATCACAGCTGCATCTCAAATTAAAAGGAGAGATACATTACTAAAACATTTTATCTATATTTTTCTTAACTTTGTTTTCCTTTATATTTTTTGTTTGTAAAACGTAGTTCAATGAGTCAAGAACATTTCTGGATTTTTCTGACACACAGACTCCACAATTTGTATCTTCTTAGACTGCTAGTATTATACCTTATGCACTTGTTCTTCCAAGGAAGAATAAAAGAGTTCCCCAAAGGGGCAAAGGTTTTTGCAGGTATTTGTTTCAATCATCTTGAATATCCATACATTTTTGGTTGAAAATAATGAAATTTAAATTTAAATATTATGTTTTGACTTAAAGAAACTACTCAAGTAACAAAAAAGTGTCCCGTTCAGATGATTAATTATAGACAAATTACAAATATTCATCGTCCTGGTGTTACGGAATAACGGTGCCTTGTATTTTAAAATAATAATTCAATTAAGGAACTGGACTAATTGAGTTGAGAACATGCAATAGAATTAGAGTAACCTCGTTACAAAAAAAGTGACACAGATAAATTATATATTGATTACTTTTAAACTGAATGGGATTGATGTAGCATTTTAATTGTAAAATTATAAAAATAACCTTTTAACCATCTGGTGAAACAGGCTGACAATGAACATTTCAAATGACTATAAACAGTGAGTTTGATTTAATAAGTGCACCTTTTATTCTTGCATGACTATTTCTACCAATACATTTCAAAGACAATATAGTAATCATTTTTAACTTTTTTTTTTAATAAAGATGTTTTTGCCTTTGGAATCACATTTGCGATAATTCACGTCCTCACTTTATCATTCATTTTCTCCCCCTCACCACCACCATCACACACACACACACACACACACACACGCGCACACAATGAGTGTAATAAATGTAAGCCATTTTTGATGAAAAAATGAGTGACAGTGTGATTTGGGACATCCAGGAGAAGCCAGCAGTGATGTCATTAAGCAGCACCCTCGATGATAAGGCAATCCCAGTCATTGAATAAATAAATACATTAAACTCCCATCTCATGTATTCTTTCAGCTCCCTTCAAACACCCGCTATCCCAAATCCTGACCCCTCATCCCTGCCCCTTACCCCCCTCACTGCCTCCTCCAAACATACACAAATAACACCCCTTCGCTGCTGATAGACACCACTGCTGCTCCCTTCCCCCTCGTGTCCACCGGCATATCAGGAAAAAATGAATGCAGCTTTGCAATAAATAATGCATTTCACTAACACTCATTCAGGTGGAGTCAGTCTCTGGCTCCATCTCATGCACTTCCAGAGAGAAGATCAACGTACAATCCCAAGAAGCGCTTTCCCCCTGAACTGAAAGCGGCGCCGGCTCTGTAATAGGCTAAAACAACGAGCACGAGAGCAAAAGAGTGAGAGAGGGAGTGAAAGAAAGAGATTGAGACGGAGAATGAGAGAGTAAGAACAGAGGAAGAAAAGGGGGGGGGGGGGGTGTAAAGAGGTAGAGAGTGGCAAGCATATTATAACTCATCCATGTGGATCACCCTAGCAGATTGGGAGCAATCCCTTGTTGAGATTGTCTTCTAAACACTTAGAGAGAAGGAGACAGAACGGAGCAGCCAGCCCATCTCACTGTGCCTGCTGCCCCAGCCAAGGTAGAGAGACCTCTGACGGACCGCTTGCATGCGTGTGTGTGTGTGTGTGTGTGTGTGTATTTCACTTTGCTCTCGTGCTTGAGTATGTGTGTTTGTGCCGTTGCCTATCTTGTAAGCCAGCCAGCTAGTGAGCGTGTGCATGTGTGTTGGAGCAAGAGAGAGAGAGAGAGCAAGCGAGCGAGGGAGGGAGAGCGAGAGAGAGAGAAGATGTGTGTGTGTGTAAGGAAGAGGGGGTATTATGCACCCTGGATGTTGCCTCGTGCTTTAAACAGCTGCCTACAAGCCCAGGTAGTGTGCGCCGGCTTCTAAATAAGGAGCACATTCACCGTCCCCTTCAGGACAAGAGGCTAGGCTGCAGAGTGTGAAATCAGACTAATACAGCGGTGCAGGGCTGAGCAGGAGCAGGAAGCAGCTCCTGCATGACTTACCTAGACTAGAGGTTTAGAGGACGAGAACCAGGAGACGAAAAAGGGGGGATTGGACGTGGGAGAGAAAGGGGAGGAAAACAGGCAGTAAGGTCAGTAAATCCTTCCTATTAATTTCTGCTGTGTGGATTATTTCTGTCAGTCTGCAGTACTTTGAGTCCAGTTAGTGTGGAGCTGGCTGTCACTGCTGTGTGTGTGTAGCTGGAGAAAGTATTGACTCTCTGTAAGTTTGTGGGATGTGTGCTCGTTTTGATCTTGCCAGGTGAGAGCAGATAGAAACACTGAACGCGGGGTGGAGGGCGGGGGGGGCTGGCTCAGAGCGGCCCAACTCTTCACTCTTCACACAAGGTGTGTGTGTGTGTGTGTGTGTGTGTGAGGGGAAGAGAGAATGTTTCTAGCGGTGTTGTTGAGTTTACATAACTTTGCAGTGGTAATTAGATGTCATATACTGCGTGCAGCCTACTTTAAAAAGCAAGTGTTTTATTTTGGGAAATTTCCAAATTTGTACGATAATCATCAAGTCAAGTGAGCGTGTGTAGGTGTGTGTGTCTGTGAGTGTGTGTAGAGATACCATCTCTTTGAAAGGGGGGGTCACCGCACCCCGAGTTGGCCAGATAACCGTAGACAGGACAGACTGACAGTGGATGTTCCAACAACACATAACAGTCATTGTGTCACATGGGGACATGTGCACACAGGTGCAAAAAGACCATGTGACCATATTACACACACACACACACACACAGATGGTGTTCAGTTTCACTACAGAAAGTTCTACTCACAACTGTGCTACCATTTTGACGGCAGTCATTCAGAAATAATATTGTTTTTCTTGGTTTTTAACACATTACTTCTTTAATATGAATCTTGTATCTGGAAATAATAGCATACAAATCCTTTAAACGATGATTTCATCCAAAAGTATTTTTTGAACAGGTGCAAACTGCCGTGTGTATGTATGGGCCTGGGCCAGCATTTCGATGTGTTTAGCCACACGCAAGCACAGGAAAAGTGGAAAAGCCAGGACTACCAAATTGTCAGCAATACTAAAGACATCAACACAAAAATTTCAGCCATCCATCACAGCTGTCGGCTTCTTTCAGTGGCGACAGTGATTTATTCTATGGCTAAAATCCATTTGGACTCACTCTCTCTCTCTTATACACACGCACACACACACACACACTAACTAACTCATTTGCTCACTTATTTACTCACACTCCCTAACCCTAACACACACGCAGGCACACACAAACCTAAAAACCGTGCACAGCAACTCCCCCAGTGTTAATAACTGTTGCTTTTTTCCGGTTGCAATTATATGGAGTCGACAGGCGTTGATTGGAGAATTATCTGACCACTCACAGAGCTGACATTGCTGTGAGGCAGGTGTTCAAAATATCAAATGCATTTTACTGGTTAGTTTTTCCCCTCCAGAGTTATATTAAACCTGAAAGTTTGGATGTGTATAATCATAAATAATTACAAGAATCACTAGATCCACTAAAAGATATTTAAAACATATTTTCTGGCATTTTATTAGGAAATACTACTGTATTCTTTCCCTATTCCCATGAATTGAGTGGACAAATAGATCATAACTTTTCTCATGCTTAGAACTAAGTGTAAACACAGATAACACTACTGTATAACTTTTTCAAAAACATCTCACAAATGAAATGTTTATCAAAATCCAATGTCCACATTGTTACAACAATTAGCCTTCAAGCACCAGGCTCCATTGGACCTTTCTGCCAAAGACACACAATTTTCAATTTCACATGTTTGTTGTCGCTGTGGGACTACCACAGTAAAAATAATAATAATATTGCAATTTATTTGGACAGCGTTTCAGGTACTCAAGGCCGGTACAAAATAATAGAAGATATAACAATATAAACCAGAGATATGGCATGACTCACAGCATCACAGGGTAGCATCACAGGGTAAAAGCAGATTTAAATACGATTTAAAAATGACTGAATTCAGTGCTGTTTTAAGTGGGCAGTGAGGGAGAATGGGAGAGTTCCACAGGGAGGGTGCAGCAATGGAGAAGGCCCACTGTTAAAGTAGTAGTTATAGATTCAATCAGAATGGCGTATCGTGCTTCAAAGGTGTGTTTTTTAGCCTCAACGACAGTAAATACTGTATATAATGAAGACTGCCATACAGTTATGATCGAGATTGTAAATCTCAAAGTTTCCATAAAGGAACTAGTAGGTATTCTCTTAAGCGTACAGGACTATTTTTTGAGAACATATTAGTCATATAGTGCAGAGTAGTTGTAGAAACATTAGTTCAATCTGATACAGCCACAGCTTCTCTGGTATTTTTCCACATGCCAGATGATAGCTCAGGTCCTACACTGTGCAGAGAACATTTATCAGTCAACACACTGGCCCTAATGTCCCCCATCTGTCAACAAGCACACCCGCTTCCATAAGCCCACACTCTAGCCCTAAGCCCTGTCCCAAGCCCGTCGACTGCACCCCAAGATTGGTCTGTGAGTGTGCGTCCACGAGCCTTCGTCTGTGCATGTCACGTGACTTTGGACTTTGCACAGTCAGATTGGTTGGTATTTGTGCCACTGGTGAAACACGATGATGCTACTTTTTTGCAGATGCACGGTCAGGAGCTGTCAGCTCTCAACACGTTTGTCTGTCTGCACAGATATCTTAGATGTTGATCTGAGCCAGCCTGTGTGTATCTGGATCCGAGTGGAGCAAGGAAGGCTCGGCTGTGTGCTTCTGCTCAGGCCTGTGTGTGTCTGGGGGGGGCGAGGCTGACACTGAGAGGTCACTCAGGTACTCTGAGTACTTACTGGTATGCTTCCCATTTCACTGCAGACCGGCATCTGGTTGAGTGAAATGCATGTACTACTGACTATCATGCATAATAAGTAGCAATCCATTTTTAGTAATTAGAAATACTAGAACGAAGTTGAAATACAAATAAACCAAATGTAAAGTTGAATCACTTTAAGCTTAAAGATTTTCTATTATTTTTAATGAGCTCCATTATATCCGTTCAGTCATGTCTTGGGTCGGTGTGACAGTCGGTGCCTCTGCATGCTGATTAAACTTCAGCTAAGGTCTGGGCCTTGCCATGATAACGTGCCAAACTTAGCTCTGCTCCTAAAATCCTGGATTAATGGCCGCTTTAAGAGCTTAACATGGTCAGCCATTCAACATGCCGTGGATTGACAGTGCTACCTTGGTTGTCCGTTATCTCACGTGGAATTTTACAAGCAGCAGAGTTTTAGGGCTATTCCTGCCTCTGCTTTTCTGCCCTGTACAGTAGTGCAAAGGTCATGAAACACTGCTGATAACCCGCACTGATGTTGTTGGACTGACATGACTTTAGAAATTCTTTTTTGTTGTTGTTATGATAATATATTATTCTTCTTGGAAGGTTGATAAAACATAACACGCTCTTTAATTTTATGTAATACCATTTACAAATAATTAGTTTCATTAAGATACATGAATGCTTAAAGCTTACATAATTAGCTACAAGTGGGAATATGTTTTTTCAGTTAACAAATGATGTTTGTAATAAAATGTTCTTACAATTTTTCGGGTTACCAAAAATAAATTAATTTGCTGTCTAAATATGACAAATGATATATATACTGCTACAGTTATAAAACATATTAGACATATATAAAGTATCCAAATCCACACTGAAGCAGGCAACATTTCCAAATTTCACATATGAATTTCATTAATAAATACAGGTATGCACAGATATCATTTTTTCACATAAGAAATTAAACATTTCATCCTTTTTGCTTTTCTGTAGCAACGTGTAATACAATAGAGCACAAGCTATTTCTAATGAGTCATTTAAATTCAATAATGTGGTTGTTAAGCTTTTCCTTGTTTTGGGAATGCTGACGTGGTAAAAAGTGTCTCTAGTTTATGCCTTCATTGACACAAACTCCTTTGTTGGCTGTTCACAAAGACGGGCACTCGCTCTCCTCCAATAAGATGTGCACCTCTGTACCGTCAGTACTGTGGAACAGCTCCGATTGGATGCTAACTGCCAGTATTTACTGCCGGGGTTTACCGTCACCGGAAAGAGCTCCATCACAATGTCTCTACCGGCTGCTCTCAGCACAACGTGTCTGTCCGGCTGAAACAGGTGCATCTGTAAGTCTGATTAACAGTAAACCTGTTGACTCTTTGAGGGTCACAATTCATTGGACATGTGCTATGTCCAATGAATTGTGTAAAGTTGCTGAGCATCCAGAAGTTATGAAATCACATCAAACAGATAGAGGATGTGATGCCTTCAAGGGATTAGTTTAATTACATCAATGTCCCATATTTTTTAAATTTTGCCTGACATCCCGGTCGCTTCTTCTGTTGTTGTTTCCACATTTGTTTGCATGTGAGGCTCGAGGTTCTTTTGCTTTAAATCGGATGAAAATACAATGTAATCACATTGGCCTGCCTTCCACAATGTCTGAAGTAAATATCCAGGGTCATTCCACAGCTTATTACTGCAGTCATGTGCATAATCACTTTAGGTTTTTCTCATGTGTGAGTAACTTTTGCACCCTCATCTGTAAGCTCAACCAATGCTTTTTTTCAACCCCCGCTGTTTTATAAAGCGTGCTTTTATAAAACTGATTACTATAGGAGGCATTTTCATTTTTTTTTCTCCCTATGATTTATTGTCAGGGATAAAAATAAGAACTTTGACAATTTTCTCCCAAAACGTCTTCATTATTTGGCCCTGAAAGGCCAAATAGCTGTCTTTTGCACAGTTTTTCCTCATTATATGCTTGTGATCTTATCTGTAGCACATTTGACTTGGTAATATTGTATATCAAAAATAGAGTTTGGTTACTGAATGAAAAGCAGCCAAAACATATTAAGCTCTAGGGTGATTTGTTGTTCAGTTTCACGAACTGATCATCTGAATTTTCTTTAGCAAAAGCCCCCGTTATGATGTGCAGGCTCAGAAAAGAGCGATGCATTGTGTTCTGCGGTGCACTGTGTGCGAGAGTAATGATGGTGGGGTTTGGTACTATGTTGATTCCATCATGGTTGTTCTGTAATAATTCAGCAGAGGAGGAGGGGAGGGG